ATACGAATTTAATATACGGCTTCCGATCTCTATGGAAATGAGAATCTCTCACCACATAATGGCAGTACGTAGCTCTTTCATAAGTTCTAACGGCGCTGTTCAAGTGATTGAGACGCTACGAGATACAATGTGCTCAAGAATAGGTTATCGGTTTCTGTGACAACGTGGGAAACGACAGAGCTCGTGCTTTACATCTTACTACCGCCCGTAATTGGAAGAAAATGTGCTCCGTCGTCAGGTCCTGACATTTTATATCAAGTTTAAGAAATAAACGACCAATTATAACGAACTCAAAACTAGCTATTTGATTGGACGGAACAGAATGAAAATTATTGGAAGATGGGGATGAAAAATTTTTTCGAATGTGACGAAAAAAATTTCACTCGAAAAAAAAAAAAAAAATGGCCGTGCATTTAATGTTAACCATCAGAACCCATGTATCTAATCCCACCATGACTCCGGATTCTATTGCGAACTCAATAGATGAATTTAGATTTGATCCAGAATGTGGAATTACTTTTGAAGCATGGTTTAAACGCCATGAGGATTTATTTATTATTGATTGTAAAGAGTGGGACGAAGGCTTAAAACTGAGATTATCATTACGAAAGCTCGGAGTGTCTGAACACGAAAAGTTCTGTAATTTTATCCCCCCAAAGAAGCCAACCGATACAACCTTCACAGAAACAGTTGAGTGCCTGACACGCATATTTTTTAACGATCTTCAGTTTTTCACACTAGATTCTAGTGTCTTCAGCTTGTAAAAGAACCTCAGGACGATTATATGACATATGCAAGCATCGTGAACCGTGAATGTGAACGGTTCCGTTTACAAGAAATGTCATCAGATCAATTTAAATGCCTTATTTTCGTATGTGGGTTACAATCTGCAGCAGATGCAGATGTCAGAACACGTATTTTAACGCGAATTGAACAAGATCCTAATATTAGTCTGCAATTAGTATCTGAAGAATGCAAAAGAATGGTTAATCTGAAGCATGACACCAATCTAGTAGAAAAGAATAATGAACATGTGGAAGTTAAAAATTTGCAGAAAGCTTTTAATGGAAACAAGGATCAGTACTCTTACCAAATTCCAAAGCAAACGAAACCCAAAATGTGTTGTTGGCGGTGTGGTAAGCGTCATTCTCATAATGTTTGCTATTTAAAAAAAAAGAGTTTGTCTTCGATGTGGTAAATACGGCCATGCTCAAGTATGTTGTAAAAGGAAACAAAAGATTGTCGATCATCAGAGTAAGGCTCGTAAAGGAAATAAGACGCAGTCACCAAAAGAAATCCCACATAATTCGAGTGTGATTCTGACCACAAAAAGTGCTCATTTCTCATCTAAAAGGGAATATGTAACTCTGTTTTTCAATGGTAAACCTATTAAGCTGCAAGTTGATACGGGGTCCGACATAACATCAATTTCTAGAAAGACGTGGATAAATCTTGGTCGACCTCGATATCATCCTACATTTTACAACGCTAAGAGTGCAACAGGAAGTAATATTACTCTTCTTGGTCAAATGCAGATACCTGTCACATTAGGTGACAAGACTATGACTGGGAAATGCTATGTGTCTGGGAATTGTCATACCAACTTACTAGGTATTGACTGGATAGATAAACTTTGTTTATGGGATTTGCCGTTGAGCACTGTTTGCAATATGATTAATTCACCAGTACCTAAATCGCTGTCAAGTGACTTTAGTCGTTTATGTGTAAAAGAATTGCGTGATAAGTTTTCAGACATCTTTGAGGATAAATTGGGACTATGTGTAAAGGTAAAGGCTCGTATACATGTTCAGCAGGGAGCGAAACCTGTGCTCCTTCCAAGGAGACCCGTACCTTATTCGATTACTGATGCCTTGGATGCAGAACTTGACAGACTGCAGAACTCTGGGGTTATTTCTCCTGTAAATTATTCTGCATGGGCAACACCATTAGTGGTTGTAAGGAAATCTGATGGTAAAATACGTGTATATGGAGACTTCTCCACTGGACTAAACAAAGTACTACAGGACCATTTATACCCCTTACCCATTCCAGAGGATTTGTTTACTAAATTGAATGGATGCTCCATATTTTCGAAGATTGATTTTTCAGACACACATCTCCAAGTGGAGGTCGAAGAAGACTGTAGATTTTTGCTGACAGTAAACACACATAGAGGATTGTTCCAATACAATAGACTGCCTTTTGGTATAAAATGTGCCCCGGCAATTTTCCAGCAAGTTATGGACACTATGTTAAACGATATTCCGTTTGCCATGGCATATATGGATGATATTATTATTGCCAGTAGAAGTGAAAAAGAACACTATGATCATTTACTAGAAGTCTTTGCTCGTATTAGAGAGTATGGTTTTCGTGTAAAAGTAGAAGTGTTCATTTTTTATGTTAAGTATTCGATATTTGGGAACAATTATCGATTCTCAGGGACGTAGACCTGATCCTGAAAAAGTACATGCCATTGTGAATATGCCAGCTCCGTCTAATATTAAAATGTTTCAGTAATTTTTGGGAATGATTAACTATTATAGCCATTTTGTGCCAAATATGCATGCCCTGCTTGCTCCATTGAATGCACTATTAACTAAGAATACCAAATGGACCTGGAATAAGGAATGTCAAGTGTCCTTTGAAAAAGTGAAACATATCTTGGCTTCTGATTTATTGCTTACTCATTATGACCCAAAACTTGAGTTAGTAGTAGCGGCAGACGCATCTGATTATGGCATTGGAGCAGTGATTCTTCATAAATTTCCTAATGGGTCACAAAAAGCAATTTTTCATGCTTCACGCACTCTTACTGCGGCTGAAAAGAATTACAGTCAAATCGAAGAGGCTTTAGCCCTAGTGTTTAAGGTCAAGAAGTTCCACAAGATGCTATACGGTAGGAAATTTACATTGCAAACTGATCATAGACCGTTGCTGGCTATATTTGGCTATAAGAAAGGAATACCCATTCACGCTGCAAATCGGCTGACTAGGTGGGCTACTATGTTGCTAGGATATGACTTCGAATTACTGTACAAGCCGTCAGCTTGTATGGGTCATGCAGATGGGTTGTCAAGGTTAATTGCTAGCAACCGCAAGCTAGAAGAAGATAGCGTGGTTGCTTCTATATCAATTGAACCGGAAATAAAACGAGTGTTCTGTGATGCTTTTAGAATCCTACCAGTAACGGCGGAAGCGGTTAAAGAAGCTACGGCTAGTGATCCTCTACTTAAAAGAATAAAAGGAGCTGTTTTAAAGGGTTGGAAAGAGGATAAGGCTGATCGGGAATTTCACCAATTTTTTCTGAGACGTGAGTCTATATCGATTTATGATAATTGTTTAATGTTTGGCGATCGTGTTGTTATCCCTAAGTCTCTTCAGCTTTTTGTGCTTAGACAGTTTCACATTGGTCATCCGGGAATGAACAGAATGAAAGCAGTTATGCGTAGTTATGTCTATTGGCCATTCATGGATAAGGCTGTGGAAGAACATGTGTTGAGATGTCGTCGATGTGCCGAAGGTGCAAAAGATCCACCGAAAGTAGAATCCCAGCCATGGCCAGAAACGAGAACGCCTTGGGTTCGACTACACGTCGATTATGCTGGACCAATAAATGGACAATATTTTTTGGTGGTGGTAGAATCATACTCGAAATGGCCTGAAATTTATGTTGTGCGAAGACCGTCTACGTCTGAAACACTGTTACATCTCAGACAACTATTTGGTAGGTTTAGGACACCTAATGTTTTGGTTTCCGATAACGGGACGCAGTTGACGTCGTCAGAGTTTGCGGAGTTCTGTAAACAAAGTGGAATCGAACACATTAGAATTCCACCATATCACCCTCAGTCAAATGGGCAGGCGGAAAAACTTGTAGATATTTTGAAGCGAGCTCTCTTAAAGATGGGAGGAGAAGATAATGTAGAAGAGGTTCTGTAACAGTTTCTAATTTCTCATAGAATCACACCGAGTTCAAACTGTCAAGATGGGAAATCACCAGCCGAAATAATGTTTGGCCGACCAATTAGAATATTCTTGAATGTTTTGAATCCGAAAGACAGAGTGTATGGACTACAAAAAAATAAGGAAGGGAATTATTCGAAGATGCGAGAGTTTAAAGTTGGGTGACTTAGTTTATGCACGTGATTTCCGGCCTGGCAAGCCGAAATGGATATTTGGATGTATTAAAAAAAGACGTGGGACAGTATTGTATGAAGTTATGCTTGAAAATACACTAATTATCAGACATATCAATCAACTGAGAGACAGAAGAAATGTTTATGAGTCACCTAAAGTCAAATCTTTACCAATCGAAGTATTATATGATACATTTAATATACCACCACCACCACAAGTTGAAATCGAAAAAATGAACTGAAATCAGATGCCAGTCGAAAATCATCACGGGAACGAAAACAAACAAGATTTTTTCAAATAGACCCGAAAGCGAAGTCATACGATCAAACTTCGCGAAGGAGGTGTTGTGTGGGCGAGAACGATCATGATTGGTTGTCTGCTTAGTCAGACATGTAGACACTCTGACAGGTGTCAGATAAGTTATATATTCCCTTACCCTTATTATTGTGACTCACTCTCTTATATACATCTTATTATTATTGATTGTTCATTGTTGTGAATTATGTTGGTTTTTGGGTGTGAAATATTTTACGTTCTGGTCAAGCTGATTACGTGTTCTTCATCTGAGTTGTGTTGAAGTCCTGCAGAGTAGACACTGGGAGGGATCTAGTGTAGATAATCATTTAAGCATACAACGTCAGACAAGGTAATAGCGAGCGTTAAAACAATCGACGACTGAACATTATAACACTCTAGTTCCTAGACTGAATATTAAAGTTCTCTTATGGTTAGATTCTTTCCAGAATAATGAAATTAAAACATAAGACTTGCTAAACTAAAAACAAATTTATTTTCAAACTATGCTCATGAGCGACAAAATAAGACTCTATTTGTCTTCCAGTTTTTCTATAGGGATCATATTATTCAGTCGGAGAATTAAAGACCTGAAAAAGGGAACATGTAAATGATCAAGGGGATCTTATAATATGCGAAGAATCGATATAAATAATGAACCGAAATTTCAGTATTATGTCCAGTGAAAGCAAGAATCAATTACATAATATTGTAAACATTTATCATTCAGAGAGAAAGTCTGTTCTCAGTGGACAAACATTTGCCTAATATAGAATCATATTTTGTCTTCTCACCATACTATTTAATCAGATATGGTGAAATTAGAAAATGGTTCAAATTCAACATCTCCATCTACCACATCACATTGGATCACGAAGACCTTCTGATCACGGTATTAATATACTCATATTATGAATATAACTGTGGAAACTACAAACTATAATCAGATGAAAATATTTTCGAAATCAAAAGCAAATGAGTTATCTGCAAATATCGACGTAAAGCATTCTATCATTCCTATCTAGCTAATGTAGAGCAGGCAATTAGGTGTAAATGAATAAAATCAATTACTCAAATATTCATCCTCTCTTTCTCTCATTATTCAAGTCCGTTCTCAAGGTCATCCATGTGGTTTACTTACACAAAAACAATAGGGACAAATTTCATCGCCTTCACTTCTTCCAGAATAGTCACTTGTGATCTGTTGAGAAAGGAAGACAATGGGAAGTGTAAGTCATGTCTCAAGCATTTCAGGGGAATAGAGCAACCATCAATGCCGGTAAATACTAAGAGAATTTCATATTAAACAAACTATCACCTCTCGACACAATTCAATAAATGAAATCATGCAAGGATTATTGGGGAACATTCAGTAAATAAAACAAATTTTGATATGAGTGAGTGACTACCGATCGTAAAACACTGTTTTGTTTCAAATAAACCATTTCTGTAACCCATCGCTTACTGACTCAACATTTATCCAGAGAAATAATCTGTCTATTCAACAGGTTACATTGAAGACGAGTTCGTCTTTTATTTATCACATAGCTTGAATTCAACAACAATCAAGTGATTTTCATAAGAAAATTGAACATGTCTTTAGTTTACCTCATGAATACGATCCTGGCGCTGAAAACAGGAATAATAAATACATATTATGGAATAGTAGACTGAATTCCCTCAAATTATACAAATATTCTACCCAATTGTTTCATAAGATAACGAAACAGTCTTCTCTAAAATTGCTCATTAATTATCAGCATTGATAAACTTGAAATGTATAAAATAATAGTTATCGTGTTCTTCATAATTCGAAATGATCGACAGGAATATTTTCAATGTTTCAGTAAATAAAATATTCACTCTTGATGGCTTAACTTAAAGTAAATTAGTTCAAAGTTGTTTGTCCGATTGAGTAATGGTGTTTATTGGTAATTTTTAGCGTTAGTCGAAGAACTTGATATAAGATCGAACTCAATGTCTGGATTACATCATCGAATGCTTCTGATAAATTTTAACATTATTAGCTATCATTTATGGAATATTTCCATCACAATGTCTGCTTGAAATGTTGTAGTCTGTTTTGCTTGAAACATTTTTTATTTCTAAATTTTTAAACGACTTACGCAAAGACAATATGAACAGGTTCCTCTAGTACGAACAGGGACTAGAGTTTCATTGTTTAGCTGTCGTGTGAGAAGAAAACGTAGAAAACATTAGAAGTATTGTTGTTTGGGTTACTTATATCCATATAAGTAGCATATAACGATTGTCGGACATAGAGTATATTTCAGTAGAATATCGATTAGGAAAGAACGTAAACGAAACACAATTGTTAGGAAAGTGCATGAACTGTGATAATTGAGATAATAGTTTGATATTTACAAAAGAAACATTGAATTTTGAGACGATGTATTGATATTTTGCAAATTAACCATTTTACTATATGGTTCTCAGACTTTGTTGAGATGCTCTGTAATTTCAATGGTATACTCACTCTCCCGTTGACTTTGAACTTGTACGAATTCGGTTACGCTTAGTAACCACGCTTGTACTCCTATGGCACGATCTCGGTATTCTTTCGATACCACGAGATCGCCAGCAAATACATCTCGACTATAGCCATCATCTGCCTTCTCATGTTGACCCACGGGGATCTTATTGGTTAACTGGCACGTAGTCTTCTTGTAGCGGTGTTCATAGTCAATCGCAACTCGACTCCACGCTACAAGCTTGATTGAATATTGAAAGCATCGGTTTATTATTGTGTGGATTAATTGACAGAAGCTACAAATTATATCTACCCATGTACAGTGAGAAATGAAAATACTTAGTGGAATTTATGATACAATTGACCTTATTTTTAATTGTTCAACCTCGACTCAAATAATCTGATTTCGAACATTTGAATCCGTTCATTTCAACATAACGGACTTAATGGAGTACACCCACTTCAAAACCTGAAAGACTTGACTTATGTTGATCATGGCGGACTTCAAGTATGATTTAATTAAGGATTTTACATAAGCATTAAATTTCACTTACAAATCTGATTTGTACTGCTGAAAAAGTAAAACTCATATTGAAATATCAAATAGTCAACTTCTAGTGGGAAATTGTAAACTATCAATAATTCTTTGCTGAATAGCAAAAGTAGACAACATAGAAATTATATTTTTTGTATGGTGGAACCATGACTTTTGTATCACAGACTCCTTTTTATTACAAGCACATAGTAACGAAGGGAGATAAGGAGTATTATAATGTTTCTTATACAACAAGAATAGGAGATTTTGTTCAAGAATACTCCTTTTGATCTCTGAAATAGCAAAGATAATCGATTATGTCATGCTATCCGATACACATGCTATCAGGTATAAGAACTATTCACTTCCTATACTGAAAACAATCTGATTGCATCAAGGTGTTAGGTTGGTAAACTGTTTTAAAAATACAACTATCCACAAAATCAAAATGACTTACTTCTTGAAGAATACACAGCAAGAACCATGCTCAATATGAACAACACTTGAAATTTCATTTTCCTACAAATCGTGATAATTCAGAATCGCTGGTGTATTTATAGTCATCTGAAACTGAAAATAGACAGTAGTTCTGATTTGAGTCCAGGGAGTCTAATTAAATTAAGACAGATTCAACCAATGATGTCAGTGTATGTATGCATTTAGAAGATTTTTAACACGTAAACAGAATGTTGTCTATGCTTATCAAACAAACCAAAACTTAGGGGCGCAAATGTCAACACTAATGAACGAAATGTTTGGACTTATTCAATTCTTCACATAGACTATATGATAATTCTATCTCATTAAAAAAGAAGAAAATTATATTCAGTTAGAATATGAAGATTTATTCATTTGTTTTCTTTTGTAGTTGTCACAGACATTCACACGTTTTCTAAAGATAGTTTTAAAAACTTCATCTTCCAGAGTTTTCTGGAGTGATGTCTAGCATTGCGAGTATTTAACTAAAACATAGTTCTCCAAAAATATGCACTAAACTCTACCTAATTGTCATGTTAAGATCAGTAAATCAGATATTTAACCTTAGTTTCCAAATAAGTAGCATGTGGTTACGATGATCAAAGAAAAGAGATCGAGAGCAAAGAATGATTCTTGTGGGAACAAAAGAACAATGAAGTCTGAGACGATTGTTTGACATTTTGCCAATGAAGTTGTAGTGTCTGTTATTATGTTAAGCTCATATACCTTATTCTAGCTTTCAGAGAGCTCAATCTATTCATTCTACTTTACTCATATTCTGACCTTGTTAATTATTCGCTTATCAATCTTGACTGTCTTTATATCAGCACATATGCGTGTATACTTCTTATCACATTACTCATCACATGTCTTTAACTTATTTTTGTTTACTATAAATATTGATTAATGCTTAGTTAAATGGGTGTTGGCTTACCCGCCCTCCCCACTGCTGGTGGTTTCGCTTCACTCTTTCATTCGTTTCATATACAAAATATATGTATTCAAAAGTCCATTCTCGTTATTTGACTTATTTAATTCCGTCATTGACTAACTCGATTTAAGTCAATGATTACATACGAGGATAAGCGATAACAAACATTCATATATGATCTATTTGGAGTCAGATTTTGGGTCACTAAAGTGGAGAGCCCTTCGACAACATCGTCCAATCTAAATGACAACATAGTAAAGGATCCCACAAAGTATTTACTGTATGGTTCTCAGATTTTACTCAAATGTTCTGTAATTCCATATTCAAGTGCATTCGATTGTCCCCTCTCGTGTTCTCGTTCACTACACTTCCACAAGTAAAGTGTACGGTTTGTCTGTTTGTTTTCATCTCTAAACATTCATGGCAGTGATGCTTTTCCCAATATTGGTTGTGATCTATTTGTGTGATGAATGAGTCTTCTTTCGTTTAATTAATATCATACACGCAATATGTGTTTAATGATAAACAGATAAAGATGTTTCACAATCTGTAACCAAATGAGTCGGAGTGGTTTTATGTGGCCTAATTTTGTTTAGAAGTTCAGGAACTATTGTTCATCACATGTTTTTAGATAGATTGCGTTATCTTGTATCAGATAAGAAAGGTTTCCTCGATCAGAAAAATATAACCTTTAAATATATTTGCTACGGTTATGCACAAATCATATGGATCTGGTCAAGAAATTGTTTAGAGATGTTTAAACTCTTCATGTTGAATCTTCATAGTTTGTTTCAGGATTCCTCCTACAACATTTAACGTGTTTCTAATAGGAATAGTAATACAAGAATGAAACCAGACGAACTATTGGGCGAATATGAATTCGATAATATAGTGTTTATTCAGGAATTATCTGCAGTATTTGTATGAAGTAATGATTCTTTTCTAGTTGACTTCCTGCTGATTACGAATTCCAAATATATAATACGTTCAATTATGCTGATATATTTCTGCCTGTTTTAAATATTACTATTTTGGGTATTCTTTGTTGGTACGTTATTTGGAATACTCTTAGTTATCATACTGACGTCGCTATTGAATCTAATCTCAGACAGTTGGATATTGATTCAAATGGGAATGACTTAGAAGTCTACATGGAGTGGTTCAAAATCTGGTACATGACTAGAAAAGATACCAAAGATGATAACTTCACAGCTTACTTCTTTACGTTCATCGGCAACTAAACCTATAGCTTGCTAAAATATCTCGCTATTTCACAGAAACCAATTTTATTGTCAAATGAATCTCTCAAGAAATACTACTTATTCATATGCAGTGAGCTAGCCTTGAATAGAGAGAGATTTTGAAGTTCCATGAAACGATGCGAAAAAATGACCGGAAAGTTAAAGCCTTTTTACGTGAACTACAAAAATAGGCCTCAAACTTCACCTTTGAAGACTGATTGGAAGCTCAACTTCGTGATCGGTCGATTGCTGGAATAAATATTCCGAATTGAGATAGAGAAATAATTCAGAAACGCAAAAGTTCATTCCAAGAAACTAAAACGGAATGTATTAACTATGAGTCAGTGAAAATTTATAATACATTTCATAGCCGTCGTGATTAACTACACTCTCAGTGTCGCTCAAGCTCGTGTTTGTTTTACAATGATTCCTATTCTTGTAGTAATGGGAGAAATAATTCATTAAAGTATTTCAAAGCAGGTTACGGAGGTGAGCACAGGTTCGATATAAGTTTATCCTGTGGTAAATTTCATTTACGTAATTCATGTGTCTTTCATTATGCTAATTGCTTTGATTGTGGTGAAATGGAACACATCTAGTCGGTTCATGAAACCGCAAGTAATATTGAATTTCGTAATTCGAATCCTATTAATTTGGGTGATTCTAATAATCATATGCTATCTTTATCTACAACTTCTAACAGTTCACTTCATATTCAAAAACGATCGTATTTGTCCAGTGGTGCTTTTCATGATTTTATTATTGATAGTGGTAGTATCAATCCATCATTTCAGTTGGAAAGTTGAAGTCATTAGACCTTGAGGCTATAATTAAACCTATCAAAGTTTATATTCCGAGTATTACCGGTCATGAATTTCCTATTCTCGGATGTTGTAATTTGCTGATTAGAGACAATAAATTGTGATGTTATATGAACTAATGATTCCTTTGTACTTGAGGTGTGTCTGATTTTGAATCCCAAATTAAATACGTACGCTCTTATTTATTTAGTCCTTAGTCTGAATTGTGTTATTTCAGGGATTCCTAGTTTCAGTAATAATTCGAATACTTCTAATCATCACATTGGTGTAGCGATGGAGCCCGTTACGGAACAGTTGGATATACATTTGAATTTTGATACTTTTGAGGATTATATGGAAAGGTTCAAAATCTGGACTGTGACTAAGGAAGATGTTGAGAATGTTAATATTGTAGCTCATTTCCTTATGTTCATCGGAAAGAAAGCCTACAGCTTACTAAAAATTTTGTCGTTTTTTGACAAGTGTACAAATTTCGAATGCCGTGAATGAGCGAAATTTCATAAAATGATTCACCAAGACATCAAGCATTCTACTAGGTTACTTAGTTACTTCAATTCAATGCATACTCAAGGACATGCAGTTAACAATTCATTGAGGAATTGCGAAGCAGTTTATATAGGTAAGCACAGGTTTGGTAAATGATTATCCTGTGGTAAATCTCACTCACATAATTCATGTGTATTTAGTGATGTTAAATGTTTTAAATGTGGTGAAATTGGACACATCCAATCAGTCTGTAGAATTACTGTTAGTTTTGCCACAAACGGTGACAATCCCTGTCATTTAAACAAGTTAGGTGCTTCTAATGGTCATTTATCTTCATCCACGAAATCGAAAAGCAGTATATAGTCACATCTCAGTTTAGAATTAAATGAAGCCTTGTTAGCATTGCATAACTGTGAAATTGAACTGCAGCCAGAACAAACTTATACTTCACGTGATATTTGTCGAGAAAGCTGGAGGGACCTGTATTCAGAAATTAATTGGAGTAGCACAATGAATACAAGTGCATCAAATGAAACTCGGAACAATTGTGAGACAAAAGTTTCTAATGAACCATGTTATTTCGCCGGATATGGTTTGTCCTAATGATTCACATATTTCTGATTAATTTTCCTATAAAAATGAGAAAAATATGTCGAATGAATCGAGTCATGATTGGAGATCTGATGCAATTTTGATAAATGTTGATAAATGTTTTTGTTTCTGGTGGAAAATTTGGTCATTGTGAAGCAAAAGTTCTCAGAGAATTCAAACGTAATTACAGTTCGGATGATCTCATATCAAATGTTGGTTATCCCCATCATGAAGTCACTTGTGATGGATCCTCTATTCAATGTAAGGAATATGTTTTAAATAAAGACACATTATTTGTAGATTGGGGATATGAAGATCCGATATTATTTCGTGGAGGAGGATAGTGTTGGGAAATCTATGATACAAATTTTAGATATCAGTGATTTCAATACACAACCGATATGTTGATTATAGACAATTAAAGGAGCCTAGTGATTCCGTCCCAATCTCAGTTGTTCATTTTAATACTAATGAGTATATTCTAGATCATACAGAGTCTGTATCCAATACACAGTCTGATTGACATACAATGAACCTAAAGAAAAAACGTTTCATCGATTACAGAAACTTAGATTTCAATTTAAGCTGTGGAGGATGTGATGTTTGTATGAACTAATGGTTCTTTCGAACTTGAAGTGTATCTGATTTTGAATTCCAAATATAATACATTCATTTGTGTTCGTCTAGTTCTGCCAGTCTTAAATCGCACCTTCTCGGGTATTAGTTAGTACATTAATTAGAATACTTGTAAATATTATATAAACGAAAGTACATATCCGAAAAATGAGGACGTTACACGAACAAAATATTTTTAAAAAATGAATAAATCATTTGAGATTTTCTAACTGAATTATATTTGAAAATGAAAAACAGAATTGTCATGCTAATTATTTAGAAGGTGAAATGAGGTCAGACATTTTATTCACCAGTGTTGATTT